GTCTGCTGCACTGTTCGCTGGCTGCTACAGATACGCCCGCCTTAGACCAGTTGCTGAGAGGCGTTCAGCCATGTGGCCTGCAGTGGTGTTACAACACCGTACATTCATGCACAGCCATGCATCGTCGCACGGCATCGTGCTGCTGCTGTTGTTGTTGCTGGTGTTGTCTCTGTCGCTGCTGCTTCCTGCTACAGATGCAGTGAGCTGGTGTTACAACACTGTGATGTGGGCGCATCTCGACACGGCGCTGCCTGTAAGCCCGCTGCAAAGCACATGAAGAAAAGGCACAAGCTGTAGGCCACTCAACAAGGGTTGCGTCCATCACGAAAAACTAATCAGTAACGTTAGTGGCAGAGTCATATGAACCCCCTAAATTACACTATTTACTACTATGTAGTAGGTTCCTGACAACCGCAATTGGAACACGATGTTAAATGTAGCGCTCTGTCATCTGATCGCACCCCACCCAAAGCTAGCTTTCTTTATTAAAAGGTTATATCCTCTTTGTTTTTTTATTCTTTATTACTTTATATATTCTCCTATTCTATTATCTTATATCCTTTTCTCTTTAATTTCTTATATATTCTCCTTTATTCTTATTATTCTTATATATTCTCCTTTATTCTTATTATTCTTATATATTCTCCTTTATTGTTATCGTCGTCGTACCTTCGTCGTTGCTGTAGCAGTTCTGGCAGTGCAGCTTGTTGTGGCGCACACGCACATCCGCTCCCTTGAGGCCGTTGCCGAGCGGGATCTGACAGACGCAGCAATGGAAGCACTCAATGTGGAAGTTCAGCTGCAGCTTTTCTATCGTCATCGCCGCACCGCTGCCTGCAACAACCATAATATTAATATCATTATTAAATCTTTGTTGCGTGTAATTCAAATACAAATACATATATACTCGTGCATGTAATACCTTGCCTGCACACTCGTAATACAGCATGGGTATAGACTGCTATAATATGTGGCACCGCTGCCTGCAACAACCGTAATACAGCAAGGTTACCATCTGCTCTGATAGGTGGCGCTGCTGCCTGCAATTGTAATATTATTATTATTATTAAATTTTGCATTAAGTATAATTAATAATAGTTGTGCCTAGTTACCTGCCACAGTTTGCATAGAGAGAACACAATGCAAGGAGAGAGGAGAGGACATGAGATGAAGGGAGAAAAAAAAGGGAGAGAGAAGGAGGGAGGAGGAGAGAGGAGTAAGGGAGAGAGGAAGAGAAGAGAAGAGAGGAGAGGAAGAGAAGAGAAGAGAGGAGAGATCAGTAACCGACCTGGCATCGCTGGCTCTCTCTCTCTCTCTCTCTCTATATATATCTATATATATAAGACTCACTCACCTAGCTCCCTGCCACAGTTCGCACACTTCTCACGCCCGCTCAGTGCCAGCTGCCTGTCAGTCTCCGCCGCACCCGACTGCCGCATGTGCATATCCCCGTGCTGCCCCCTGGCATGCCCGTTCGCCTCGCCGAGCTTATACAGCGCCCTCTCGTGTCCGTCGGCGGCGGGGGCGGGGGCGGGGGCGTCGGCACGGCCTCGCTCGTTGATGTAGGATTGGTTGTAGACGAACGGCGCGGATTGACGGTGCTGCAGCTTCTTCAAGCGCTCGCGCTCGTTTCGCTCGGCGAGGCGTCGTCGCTCCGCCTCCTGCACGACCCAGTGCTGCTGGGGGGCGCCACCGTTCTGCTGCTGCTGACGGATGATGTCGGAAACCCGCACGGGTTCGATGTCCGTGCGCCGGCGCGGTTGACCGAGGTCTGGTTCCACGTCCGTACGGCGACGGGGGGGTTGACCGAGGTCTGGTTCCACGTCCGTACGGCGACGGGGGGGTTGACCGAGGTCTGGTTCCACGTCCGTACGGCGACGGGGGGGTTGACC